TATATACTGTATATACTGTATATATATATAACTTAAGGTAAAAGAGATTAAAGAATGTACAATATTAGACAATTTGAACACATGAGCTTGAGAGATTTACRAAGTGAAAAGTATTGCTCAGTGTTTTAAATTCTACGTGTTCACAGCAAAGTGTCGCGGCCCGATAAACTTCCTGTGCACGTGTTTGAAGTGGACGAGGACGTCGATAAAGATGAGGTGAGTTTCTCCTTAGTCCAAAACCCAATAACTGACAGGAACAATTAAATAATTAATTGTTTGAAAAGTAACAAAAAAAAACTGTTCCTGCTTATTGAACTATTGAAAGGGTGTTTAAAAAACATAACTAATAATGTAGACATTTTCTAGATTGTATGCCTACTTATTTGACTTTTGAAGCCAAACTAAAGTGAGTATGTTATCGACAAATCCCACCACATAACCAGAACTCTTTTTACCCATGATGCATTAGTGCAGATGGGTGAGATCTGTGAAAGGGATATTTTAAGGCTTGACAATAYATGGAGCAGAATATGCTTACATGCAGTGGCGCCACCAAGAGGTGGCCATGTGGGGCAGAAATAGCCCCCTCTATAAAGTTACCTTATCAGAAGGCAGTTTCTATGGAAGCATCTTGCTATCGTGGAAGAAAATACATTTTTAATCTTATTTGCGTAATATAAATACACTGCCTGGCAAAAAATAAAAAATAAAAAAAGAAGTCACCACCTTGATTTAACTCAGATCTATGATGAGGGGTTGCTGCAACTGGTCAGGTCTAGGTTCAGCATGAATGAGGTCAGCTAACTACCTGAATATACTGAATGACCAGGTTATTCCATCAATGGATTGTTTCTTCCCTGATGGAACGAGCATATTCCAAGATGATAATGCCAAGATTCATGGGGCTCTTATTGTGAAAGAGTGGTTTAGGGAGCATGAGACATCATTTTCACACACAGATTGTGTTACGACCCAGCTCAAGAGCCATAACATATGTGAAGAYACGACACAGTGGAACCAGTTTYAAAACCTTAAAAGGTATTTATTAAAGTTTTGTCTAGGATTAGGTGAGTTYGTTGGCCCGGTTTGGAGCTCCGTAGCTCCCGAATGMACCRGACATCTCTCACCAAGCTGGACCCTCTGAAGTCCGTRGTCCAGGTTTACGTTCCACCTGTTACGAGCAGTCTGTGGTCTGATTCCCTCGACCACCGTCGTGTCCTCCGTGCACCTCCGCGTTCGCGTTTCAGTGTCCTCTCTCCAGCTCCAAAAACCCCGACTCGGCATCCGCACGTCAGCAGGATGTCTCTCCCGTGAGGCACGCCGGATGAGAGTAGCAGCAGCAGACCGTCAGGATAGGTGCAGCATGAAAAATCCACATAAGCCACAGAGCGCTGAACCTCCGAGCCCTCGCCAGCCACACAGCGCTCGAGCGACTACCAGACGCTACCAGCACTCCAGGTGCGCGCTTCAAAAAGGGCACAGGCCACACCCCCTAAGGATGACCTGTGAGGAAGCACAATTAGGCAATAGGCGGCAGCTGGCTGCAATTAACTAAGCTGCAGGGCCGTCACAATTGGCTCCACAGAGTCCATTGAGAATCTTTGAGATGTGCTAGAGAAGGTCAGACTCTACCATCATCAATGACAGGTCTTGGTGAAAAATTAATGCAACACTGGATGGAAATAAATCGTGTGAAATCGAAGCTTATCCAAACAATGCCACAGCAAATGTGTGCTGTAATCAAAGCTAAAGGTGGTCCAACAAAATATTAGCGTGCAACCTTTTTGTGGTGACCTTTTTGGCCACACAGTGTATATTGTACAAAAGTGATGTCATATTGTATGTTATTGTTGTAGTGTGCTTTTAGCCTGCATGTTAGTACATAATTAGTGGGTACAATGGCTTATTTCATGCTTGGGCTAAGACATTGCGGTGTTTTTCAAATAGTCTGTAAATTGATGAGGACAGTCTTTCACCCCAATACTGTATTATCATTGCCCCCATCTGACCCTTTGAAAACGCTTAGCATGTTGCATCACCTGGATTGTCATCTGACACCTAACTAAAATGTTTCTCAAGAAAAACTAAGTTCACTTCGAGGTTAGATTAAGAAAAACATGTTCTTTATGTGCACCAACTGTTTGACTACTGTACATTAAGCTGTCCTCGTGTGTCATCGGTTTAAAGTGTTTGGTGTAGAGACCAACAAAAAGACAAAATAAAGTCTTGTCTCACAATGGTTATACATGGGCAGAGATTAAAGTAGGCGAGGCTCTGTATCACTGGTGTGCAGGGATACAACCTGACAGCTTCCTGCTGGCTTCAACACAGCAAATGAAAGGGAGAACACTTGGTCTATAATTTGAACATACCTATATTATTTCAGCTTCGTACAATTTTAATAGTTAAAGGTTAAACAGATTTAAGCCATCAGATTCTGTTTGTTTTTTTTACCATAAAAATGAACAGTTCAACTGGAACAAGTACCTAATTTCATTGTTATTTTATTCTTCAAACTAAAGATGATGACATGCTTTTAATCTTTTTACCACCTCGTCTTTTTCTGCTTCCAATCTGGCTGTGAGAAGTAAAATGTAATTTTCTGTAATAGCATGTGAATTTAATGGACAAAAGTAGGTGTAATTATGCTTTTTTTCAAAAGAGGTTTAATAGTTTGTGAGATCTGAGTTCTCCAGTTCAACATTTGGCTCTTTTCATCCCCTGGTAGTTCACGGATGACAGAATGGGTGTGCAGTCCTTTGTTGCTTTTGGACTGGCTCATAGCCGTCTGCAGCGACGGGGGCTCGTAAGTCACCTGACAAACACTCRGATTTAGTGGGAGTGTTCAAAAACAGCAGAAGATAATACTGAGCTGTTGTCCAAACAAGCGTTATCTGAAACAGTGCAGGGTCGGGCTGCTTCAGAAGATGTATTGTGATGATCGCCTCACTGTGTCAAACTGTGCCTCCTACAGGTAACAGAGCAGCTTGAACRTGGTTTGGTAAAGATCTCTGCAAAATGTTTGTTTTCCACTAAAAATCTAGATCCAATCTCTTCAACAGGTTTACTTAATAAATGAAGGAAATAAAATAAAGTTTACTAGACAACATAMAAAATAACTGTTATTCATTTATTTTTCATTTAAATGTAGTAAAAGTGTAATATTTACTTTGTGAATTGCCTTTAAGAGAGTTTCCTGTTTTTTTGGTAATTAACTCAGTGACTTTTCTGCCTCTCTGGTTTGAACTTGTGGATTCTGTCTAGACGCAGACGAGAATAAATAAACTTTTCCAGCTGCTGTTCAGCTCACACCACGGTCCTCCACACTCAAAGTATCAGAAGTCTTGCCAGCTTTTCCCCAAATCCCCCGTTATTTTTTACTTTATTGGACAAATGGCAGCAGAAGAAGTGATACATCTTGAAAGGTCATTTGCTCCTTTCATTGAGAGCAGTTCTTCAAAACAGAGCAGTCTTTACAATAAAACGAACCCGGTTCTGATCCAAACCAGGACCGAGCTSCTCCTCCTCCTCCTCTATCAGTCATCTCCTAATTGGTTTATTTTTGCAGATCAGGAGAGCGACCGGCTCGTGGTATGTTTGGTCACATATGTGCGAGGCTCTGTCGGAGTGTGGCGTGGGATGATTTGTGTGTCACAGCTTTCTTCTGAAGATGGAGGAGTTTATTTTGCTTTCACGTCAGACTTTGTTTTATGTTCTTCTGCCTGCTTGTTTGGACGGAGACAGCTCTGTGCAGAGTCAGCCTCTGTGTCATCTCAAACCACAAGATCAAACGCTTTTTGCACAGCGAGGCTTTGGCAGGGTCACTAATTAGTGACATGATATTCTTATGATGCTTCACTGCAAACATGCCCAAATGAAGCTGTGTTGACAATTTGCTTTGCTTTTAAATACATAAATGTTTTGCAGTTTAATTCTTCACGCTGTCATCAGAATATCTCTTCATAAATTATCACTTTTTTTATATTTGTTGCATAACAATCAGACTTTAAGGCTTGATAAGGTCTGAACTTCCCAGTGTTTTGGTGTTTTATTATGTCTGATCTTGTGTCTTTGTTTCCTGAAGGACACGGCCTCCTTAGGTTCCCAGAAAGGTGGGATTTCCAAACATGGCTGGCTCTACAAGGGAAACATGAACAGTGCCATCAGYGTCACCATGAGGGTGAGATCACTGGGAGGAACACATGAAAAGCTTKTMTTGWGCTTCTTGATTTTTTTTTCTAATGAGAATGATTTAGATATGTAGAAACAAAGACCTGCTTGCATGCAGTACAAACAGTTGTGATTGCAGACATGTTGATGTCCTGATGGGCATTTCTATAGTCACTGGTCAAAAACAAGCAATTTCACAGGCTCAATTCAAATCTAAAACTCTGCTTCCCTGCTTACACATGAAAGTTAGAGTAACACTCATCCAGATCACAAATGAGGCACCCCAAAAAGTAAAACCCTCAAAGCAGCTCTTCGATTAATATTATTATTTTTTCTATTACAAAAACTGCACTTCATATTAGTGAMAAACTTTGGCATTTTTTGATGAGTTACCTTCATTTTTGCTTCTACTTTTAATTTAAAATAGGTTTCCATTCTCTGCAGGTTTCTTCTATGTATTAAAAAAGTTGTTAAAAATCTGAGTGGTGTACTTCCGCTACTAGTGGTGAGAAAGTGTATTGCACCATATTCAAAATCAATGCGGTCCCGCGGCCCAAAGTTAAAAGCTGTTGTTCTTTTGAGGCCCTCAAGGTGGCGCTTGCGGCCCACAACTGGGCCGCTGCACTAGAGGACGCCTCCACCAAACAGCCTCTAGCGACGAAGAGACGTTCAGCCACGACTAATGTAGGAAAGAAAACTGGACAGATAAAATCAATGTTTCAGGTGTRAATGGAGGTAGACTCTCACAGAATTTCAGGCAAACCTATGTTCAGTCTGCTTAGAGATGCTAAATCTGAGTGGTATGCTGAAGTTGCAAGTACAAAAATGACAACATTTTACCAGAACCACAACCAAGCAGGAGTCAGCATTCAAGGCTTTTATACTGTTGCAAAAATGTTGCAGTTTCAGTCAGAGCATCTCAGCTCAGCTGTAACAAACATTATCCCAAGAAAGCTCAAATCCACTTATCCCGTGTCTCAGTGTCACCCCTGCCTTTTCCCATAAACCAACTTTTTGTCTTTCAATTTGAAGTCACAAAGAGTAGTGGTTAAAATATTCCACAGTAGCCGAGTAGTCGATACATTAGTTTCTTCTGCATGCCATCCTCCTCCATCACTCTGTCCTCACTCCAACTACCTCCATGTCCTCTCTGACTGCATCCATGTAACTCAGCCTTGTCTTTTTCCTCAATATACCCACTGTCCCTCCACTGGACATGTCCAAACCATCTCAGTCTGACCTCTCCAACCTTATCTCCCAGTAGTTCAACCTGTGCTGCACCTCGAATGATTTTGTGCCTAATCTTATCTATCCTTGTCACTCCCAAAGAGAACCTCAACATCTTCAGCTCTGACTCTTCCTGTCCTGCTTCCTGTCTTTTTGTCAGTGTCTCCAGATTATTTAACATAGCTGGTCTCACTGCTCTTTTATAAACCTTTCCTTTGACCATTGCCCCACCCTTTTTTTTCACAAATCCTTCTCTCCTCATTACTCTCCTCTTCACCTCCTTACCACACTACTTATTTTCCTCAACACTCGACTCAAAGTACTGGAAGTGCTGCACACTTCCTTTGCACACCTCCACCTCTTCAATTTCTCTTCCACCTGGTCCTTGTTCTCATCGCAGGTATTCTACAAGCATCATAGTAAACAGATGTGACATCAATATGTCCTTATGTGATGCAGATCACTTATACCTTTGTTTTAATTTGTGCACCTTTTTAAATGGCTGGGACACCTTACCCTTTTGCCTTTGTGTTTGAGACATGAGTAAAACAGTGGGAGGAAGAATGGGTATAATTGGATTCAGCCTTTGTTTACCGTTGGCAGGAGGTGAATTTGATTCAAGAGGGTTTTTATTTAGATGAGCCACTGTTTCCAAATCCGATTTCTGCACACAAATGATCGGCCATGTTTACAGACTGAGCCAACACAGTGATAGATCACAGTTTCTTCTTGTTTTGTTACAGATTTATAACCATTTCTTTTCATCGTTTCAGTCATTCAAGAGGAGGTATTTCCACCTAACCCAGCTCGGTGACGGATCATATAATTTAAACTTCTTCAAGGATGAGAAGATCTCCAAAGAGCCCAAAGGAACCATTTTCCTGGATTCCTGTATGGGCGTGATTCAGGTACGCTCTATCTCTTTTAAGTCCTCTCTGGCATGAAGGTCGTGATTGTTAAAAGCTCATTGAACCCAAGTGACCCATTGCATGATTTTTTTGCCAAGCAGGATATCCACGCTGGCGCCATGTTTGCTAATGATGTAGCCTTGTCTCTGTATGATGATTGAACCGCCACTTTTTTCCAGGAACAAACTCACAACACAGACAAAGCGGCTTCCTCTTTTCTCCGAAGCTGCGTTTCTCATTAAGCACTYTAAACTGTAAGCTTCGGCAGACAAACTGTCAAAACAAGTTGTGCTAAGAGTTGTGTAGAGCTGCTGAAACATACCGTCTCCGTTTTCATGAAACCTGAGCTCTGTGCACTCCGAGGTTGTGTTTTTCTGCTGACGTTCAGCCGGTGGAGCAAGGTGAACGCTGAGGTCTCACTTCCAAGCACTCTCCTCCCAATCAATAYCATCTGCACAAACTCTCCGTCAACATTATCATTGGTCAATCATCCCGGTAGATGGAAAGAACCTGATGTTTTACCTGTTAGGATGTCAGCTGGCAGTGATCAGACTGACTGGGCTGCTGCTATGTCTACTTTATTTCTGAATGCTTATCAGTATCAGATATGGTGGGTTCCTTATCACTTCAGTTTGCTTATTTCTCTCAGTATTTTACGATACATCAGGAAAGGATTGTGTTGGATTAATTCATTTTAATTTCAAATGTTTGAATAAATAAAAGTGAACAGAAAAATGCTACATTTAAAGGACAGATTTAAAAGAAAATGTAAAAGCGTTGCTAGTCTGAATGATTTCCATAGGATTTTAAATTCTTGTTTTAAAGTAGAGGTCCAAGTTTCCAAACATTTTAGACTCTGTGCTGCTTTTCACACAACTGCTTTWAAAAAATAAGTTATCCATCATCAAAATGAAATGACTGAAACACTTCATCACTTACCTCAACTTTGATCTAGTGGAGCTCTTTCTCCCATTGCTTTGTTTTATATTTAACTAAGTCTTTGCCTTTAAAGTTTAACCCTTGTGTTGCTGAAATTATTTGGATGTTTTTGTGTMATGGAATTAAATGAAAGGGGACATATCATGCAAAATCCATTATTTAGCTGTTAAATGCATTTTGTTGTGTACTTGGAGTCTCTATGAGTGCAGAAATTTTGAATTTAGTCTCTCACGGTGCTGCGTAGATATCTCTATTTTCTGTTTGAGTGATCTTGTTCAACCTGTTCAGCTTTCGTTATTTTCTATGASGTTTTCTGAACTATTACATATTTACGATGGAACTTCTAAATACTTTAAATATGAAAAAGAAAGGTTTAAAAGCATATTTCTCCTTTAAATAAAAATCTCTGTTTTTATTTTCTTCTATAGTCTCTTAGTTGAATTTATCCATGAGCTGTGCCTCTTAATGCTTTATTCTTTGTGTGATTTTGGAAATTTTCCAGCAGTTTTACACCAAATATCTTACTCAAGCGTTTCCAAAGGAATGACCAAATTAAACCAAGGTTTGACTTTTAGTAAATGACACAACTCCTATGACTAATCCATTGTGTTGTTTTCTAAGCAGACAAATATCTCACTTATGTCATCATGGTGCAGGCCTCATCTTATTGCMTGACCTAAACTTGTTCAGAAAAACGCTGCTTCAGAGCAGAAGTGCAGATCTTGACATTGCAGGTGGAATAGGTGACATCACAATGAATCTCAAGCTGCTTTTGCTTTTTGCAACGAGGCCAACGTGTGCACAAAAACACATTGAATTCATCTTATATTAATGAAGTGGTCAATAATCTCCACGTGGAACCACACAGAGCTCAGAAATGTTGTTTTTGTCTGTTTTGATTTTCCACTAAAACATGACGTGTAGCTGTGTTGTCTATAAAAGCRAGGCAAATCTTTTATTGTAAAACAGTGGTGATTTAGCTTTTTTTAAACTTTMCAGTTTTGTTTCTGTACCCCATGTTTACTCAGCCCTGTCCTCCCACTCTGCTGTTTATACGTTACAGCAGAGTCCACTACCCGCTGAGGCTCCTGAGACATCTGTTCCTTTAATCCTGCTTGATTTCTTGATTTAAACTGCTAATAAAGATCAGACCTCTGTGGAGCTGCTGCATCACAGACAAACTGCAGAGATTTAGCACCGATTGGATTTGAATGGGCTGCAGTAAATTAGCACAAAAAGCCCAAACAGAGTGGTGACATCACTCTTCAAGGCTGATTGAGGTTAATTATTTTCCTGAATCAGTCACTTACACATTCATTGTTCCTCCTGAGCTTTTTTTTTACACTCATTTACATTTGATGTCAAATACAATTTGCTTTCTCTTTTCACAAAAACAGGAGTTACCTTTGTCTGCATTTCTGCAACTGAAAGAATCTGTTTTGGCCTAATGTGTTTAAATATTTGCTAAATTTGTGTGATTTTGAGCTCAGTCAGCAAATATGGTGATGTATTAGGTAATAAAATAAGGAAAGCTGTGATTTACACCATAAAATGTTTTTTTTTTTTCCTGCTGACTGGGTTGGTTTGGAACAAATAATAAAACACCCTCTCCRTCCTGCAGTTCTAAGATTTGGAAATTAAGTTTTTAAACCTTAAAAAAACTAAAACCATTCAGTCAGTTTTTCCATAATTATATTGTTGCAGATTCTTTCTTCTCTGTAAAAAAAGAGTTCTTTTGGGGGAGATTTTTTTTATTTGTTCTGCCTTATTTTATCAAATAAAACTCTTCCTGTTTTTCTTGGTGGTGTCTCTGCAGAACAACAAAGTTCGGAGGTTTGCTTTCGAGCTGAAGATGCAGGATAAGAGCACCTACCTGCTGGCTGCAGACAGCGAAGCCGAGATGGAGGACTGGATCAACACGCTTAACAAGATCTTACACACCAGCTTCGAGCTTGCCATGCAGGAGAAGAGAAATGGAGACGCTCATGATGGTGTGTGTCTCCTGTTTCATGTAAAAAAAGAAGTATTGTTCTGAGTTTGTCCAAATGTTATTCTAATTCTTGACAAGAACTAATATTTAACCTGAAAACATTTTTTTTTGTTTAAAGAATGAAAAATACACTTTAATGGCCTTGTTTTATGTATGAAATCTTTTTATCATCAAGTTTTTCAGTATTTGTGAGCTGAATACCTCAGGTATTACAGCCAGTAAAGCTGATGATTATCAGTGGGTTTACTCAGGGAAACTTTATGCAGTTCAGTCACTCTTCTCTGCTTTTTCCTGATTTTTTTCTTTTTTTTACATGTTGGAGGTAAAATACCAGACCACCCAGACTTTTAATGCTCACCTCCTGTCTCATAGGAGGCTTTAGCCTTGAAGGAGGAAAATGCACCACTAATCATGTTAGCTCTTTAGCTTTTAATAATTATCCCATGCAAAAGAGAAGAAGAAAAATCACTGTCTTGAAATATTTCCCTGAGATCTCCTGGTATCTTCCTCTGAATCTCTCCTGATCTCTGCACAGCTGAATTACTGTTTACTGAACTTTCACATGCCACTGCTTGATTAAGGAGATTTAAAAAGCCATGTGAGTTACAGCTTTTATCTTTAAGCTGCATCTATTGTGACTTGTGTTTTCCTACAGACGATGATCTTGGAAAGTCAGACAGTTCTTCTGGCAGCCTCGACAGCTTTCAGGTAGGTCCTAATTCCTTAGTTAGAAGCGCGGGTATTCTGTCCAAACTACGATTGTGGTACTCATTGAAAAAGTCAAAGAAGAGGCCTCATTTGACGCAAACATATGGCTTCAATTAAGGGTTAAGGATTACACATCTAGTTTGCAGTAATTCATTATTTTCCATGGATCAGACATTAAAGACAGACCTGGATATAATTTAATCCAGCGTTCCTTTTCGGTGTTTATTAAGTTTCTCTCCAAGAAAAATAAGACAGAAAGCTAATTATTAGGCCTCAAGACATGCGTTAATGTTTAAGCTTTATTCAGCAAAAAATGATCAACACAGGAGAAAAGAGACAAACAGAGAAAGTGAAAAGGGCTTTAAAATGTTTCAGAATAGAAACATATAAAKCAAAATGATTTACTGGTGTAAGAATTGCATATTTACAACACAATGCAATAAAAAACAATTCATTGCAATGCACTATGATATACAATATGATGTGATACAAAACAATGTAATACGATACAATGCATTATGATGCAAAACAATGCGATGCAATGCAAAAAAATATGATACTGTACAATGCAGTACGATATAATATGATACGCTACAATGCAATATGATATATTACGATAGGATAGGATATGATGCGATGTGATTCTGTGCTATACAGTGCAACATGATATGATTGAATGCATACAATACAACACAATACACTGTGATATTATATAATATGATATGACACATTACAATGCAATATGTTATTATAGGTTTTATGTGTGTGGAAAATAAATTGCACAGCTATTGTTTTAGATTATATCATCTATATCTTATTTAACAAAGCAAATCCCACAGAGATCTCGGATGTCTTTCACAGTACAGGAGGCCTGGGCCTGAAGACATTTGTTTATTTATTTATTTATTTATTTATTTATTTATTTATTTATTTAGTCTGTGGGATTAAATCGGAGTATCTGGAGAAACCCCATGCAAGCACGAGGAGAACATTCAAAATCCACACAGAAAGACCCCAGGTCCGAAACAGTGACCCTCTTTCTGTGAGGCGTTATTGCTAACTACTGAGCTGTCATGAAAACGTTTTGGTATTTAGTGTTTAACATAAGTATTCCTGATGCTGTTATAGTACTTAGTATGTAGTCATTTAAACTTATATTGGAGGAGACAGAAATTCGTAGTGAAACAAAGTTGGATGGGTCATGATAGATACTGGCACTGACTGAGTCTGTCTGCTCAGCAAAACTCATCTGTAAAATATGAAGCTTCACTTCCAGTTGGAGGCAGATGACACAAAAAAATAGATCCTAATGATAAAACCAACCGAGAGTGTAACTGTTGAAACAGTTTGTGGTTTTGGTTTAACAACCTTTCTTTTTTTTACCTTAGAGCACGAGAGATATAGAGTCCAGGATGAGGAATGAGACCAGACTGAAGCTGTTCACCCTGGACCCAGACACACAGGTAATCCAACACAACACATAAAGAAGGATGTTTCCTTTTTTTTTTACAGATAAAATAAACCTTTTCTGTGCGCTGTTTGCAGAGACTTGACTTCTCAGGAATAGAGCCAGACGTGAAGCTGTTTGAGGAGAAGTTCGGCAAGCGGGTGCTGGTGAACTGCAATGACCTCTCGTTTAACCTGCAGAGCTGCGTCGCCGAGAACGAGGAGGGGCCCACGACAAATGTAAGACTGGCTTCTCTGGCTCCGACAGCCTCTAAATAACAGAGGAATCATTCCCCGCCTGGCTGAAGGCGGAGGAGATGGGTTGGAACAGCGGCCGGATGGACTCCTGTTGGCATAGCAGCCAGACTACTGGCTCAGGAGCAGCTAATAGCCTGTGTAATGAAATCTAATGTAATAAATGTCAATTAAAYACTCCACATATTATTCTTCCAAGGGTACAGATTGTACACTGGGTATGGTCATCTAGAGTCATAAAAGTTTTACAGGAATGGCTGCCAGCAAATAAGATAAATAAAACATGGGCTGATTTAAACTAGTCTAATGAGTTTCTCTGCTTTAAAATCCAGTSAAGTCAAGGAACATTTTTGTCTTTATCCTGRAAATAGTTGCAACAAAGGTAAAGTAATCTAAAATCAGAATTTTTTTTTCCAGGTGGAGCCGTTCTATGTGACCCTGTCCCTGTTCGACATCCAGAACGGCAGGAAGATCTCCTCTGACTTCCATGTTGACTTGAACCACCCRTCTGTGAGGGGCATGGTGCCCACTAACACCAGTCAGTACATGAACGGAGGGGCTGACGCCCGTAATGACGGCCAGCGGTTTATCCACGGAGTGTCAGAARCTACTCTGCAGTATCCCCAACAGGTGAAGAGTGAAACAAACAGAAACAGTGGCCCTCCATGTTTGAATCTAACGTTTTGATTTCTTCAGGGGGTCTTCTCTGTGACGTGCCCTCATCCTGATATCTTCCTGGTGGCTCGCATCGACAAGGTGCTTCAGGGGGGAATCAACCACTGTGCTGAGCCGTACATGAAGAGTTCAGACTCCACTAAGGTACAGAACCATCCTCAGACCAATGAAAACAAGCGTGGGTTTTGGCTGATCTGCTCCCTGAGGAGCACCTGGTGGCTTGTTGGGGTTTGGATGAGCTGGTTTCTGTGGAGTGAGATTATTTTCACTTGACGGTGTTCTTGTGTGATGTTTGGCAGCACTCTGAGTACTTTCCCAGCACAATAACAAGTCTCCGTCTTTGTGTGTGTGTGTTCAGAGTCATTGTGTGTTTCTGTTTTCCACTAGATGGCACAGAAGGTCCTGAAAAACGCCAAGCTGGCGTGTAGTCGACTGGGTCAGTACAGGATGCCATTTGCCTGGGCTGCAAGGTACTGGCACATTATAAATATATTTCTATTAAATTTATTTCTATTTATTTCTATTAAATAAGTTAAGCTTTAGGTTTTATTAAAAGTTGTTCTTTTCACTTTGATAAAACATATACAAGCTTATACTTGTACTTATACTTTGATACAAGCATTATTGTTCTATCATTGCAAAAGCACTGTTTGAATTTTTAAATAATTATATTGATGTAAAGCATTTGAAAAATAATTTAAAATGAAACTAGCGGTTCTTAAAAGCCGCCGCCTTGCAGGCAGGGGCGGAGCCAGGGGTGGCCATGGCCACCACAGACAGATCTTTGGTCACCCCATTGGCCACCCTGTTGTACACACCCCTTCCACAGTGAAATAACCTTTAGGGGTGTAATAATCCTCCTGAACCATTGGTGGCAGTGTTTAACAGTTTGAAACATCAACAAATTCAAAGAAGTGACAAAGAAGTGATTGTTTTCTTTATATACAGAACAAGTGAGTAGTGTGGAGAGACAGTGACAGAGAGAAGCAGAGGCACAGAGACAGGCCAGGTTGTTCTCTGTGTTT